GAAGGACTGATGCTGAAGCTGAAACTCCAATACTTTGGCCACCTGATGCGAAGAGCTGACTCATTTGAAAAGACCCTGATGCTGGGAAAGATTGAGGGCAGGAGGAGAAGGGAACAACAGAGGATGAGATGGTTGGATGGGATCACCGACTCGATGGACATGGGTTTGGGTGGACTCCGGGATTTGGTGATGGACAGGGAGGCCTGGCGTGCTGCGATTCACAGTGTTGCAAAGAGTCAGACACAACTGAGCGACTGAACTGAACTGAATTCTATGCCCTGGGCACAGTGGCTGACATATAGGAAGGTTCTTAACAGTTACTGGATAGATGAATGAAGAAATGAAGAAATAAAAGGAAGGCAAGAGGGAGACAGGGAAAGAAACAAAACAGAGAGAGAAAGAGGAAATAATTATGCCCCACTCCCCCTAGAAAGGCTAAGGCAGGGTCATAAAGAAGGTGAAATCAACACGCAAACCCTCGAGTCTCTTTTTCCAGCCCAAAGTTTCCCAGGAACCCCTGACTAGGCTGTCCCACTCCCATTCTTGTCCTGACCCCCCGAACCCCTGACCCCAGAAAGACTCTGAGAACCAAGGGTCAAGATCCTCTGCAGCTCCTCCTCGCAGAACGTCCTCTCTGATTTCAGCATGTCTTGCATTAAATCAAACCTATGTCTGCCAGAGCACAGTCTCAGCTCCCCGGGGAAGGAATTGACAGTCCCTAATTTGCTGCCCTCCCCAGCCCGCCTCCACAATAGGCCATTTCCCAGACAATAGCCATCATCACCGCCTTTGTGCAGGCCCAGTCATCCTGAAATTGAGTCTCCAATCTCCTCAAAGATGTGCACAGGAAATGGAAAATCCATGCCAGTCCCTGCGGGCACACTGGCAGTTGATTCCAAAGCACACAGGGCACCTGCTCCCTGGATGCAGAGGGGACAGATCGACAACCTGAGACCACCTGGGCAGGGGAGATCTAACTCCCATCGTCAGCCCTCCAGGGAAGGATCAGCAGCTTCCTGGGGGCTAAGGGTCCCCATAAGCCCCCATTAGTACGACCACTCACAGTAGGGCCTGATCAGCTATGGTCACCCCTGGAAAACCCGGGGACCCCAGAGTTCCAGAGTCCTATTTATAAGAAGATCCCCCTGCCTCCTGGCAGATGAAAGGATCTGAGGAATTAGCAATTCTCTGAGAGGAAGGTGGATCGTGGAAGCTCCCACCCCTGGAAAAAAGCCTTTGAAGACACAAAACCATCCAGGGGTAGAAGTCCCTCATTTCCATTCCTCAAAGGGCGACCTGAAGATGCTTCTGACTCATGCTTAAAAGACTCTGACTACTGGTCCACAGCTGTGTTAAACATAATCCTAAATATTCTGAAACAATCAGGAAAATATTATCAGGAACTGGGTAACAGACAACACAAGGATTTTTTTGTTGTTAATTTTGTTAGGTGAGACAATGCCTTGTTGTTATGTAAGAAAGCAGCCACTTTCTTTAAAAATGTATCCTGCAGGATCATCATGACATGATATTTAAGATTTGCTTTAGAATATTTTACTACAGAAAAGCCACAGGAGGAAAACTATCATAGGGCAGTATCCAGGTTCAGCAAGATGAGATGCTATGATTGATTAATGATGTCTGCCCTAGGCAGGGGAGATGCAGCAAGGGTAGGAAGTGCAAGGAAGACAGGATGCCAGCAACATATTTGCCGTCCTGGCTGGTCTCTTGCCTGTCAGACAAATGTCTACTTTGCCTTTTAGGCCTGCTTCAAAGAAAACTTTAGTTACATATTGATTAACTGGGACTTAATACGTTCTTAAACAATTCAGTTGCATTTATTTATTCTGTTTCTGCTCTAGGACTAACTGAAAATGAAAACCAACAGGGTCTTGGCCTAACAATTGCTATTATTAATTTTTATATGAAAGTACTTTAGTATGTTATATGAAAGTATTTTAGATAAAGCTAAATGATTTCCCCTTTCTTACTTCCCAACAGGAAGTGATATTAATAACAGTAATTTATTGGAGGCACTCCATTGTGCCAGGCAATGAGCCAAGTGCTACACACACATCACCTCATTAATCATCGCAACAAACCCATGGGCTAGGACTGTGTTATCCCCACATTTCAGGTCCAAGTTGGAATTATTAACACAAGGGCATACAGAGGATAAACATCTGAGTCTTTGATGCCAAAGGAAGGGCTGGAACATTACAAGTTCCACCTCCCACCAAATGCCTGGACTAGGCTCTTGTAAAGTTTTTAGCCACAAGACAGCTTAGAATTTGTGGATTAGAAGACCAGAGAGAAAAGAGGAGATCAAGTTCCAAAGGACAGCTGCTGAGAGCCAACAATCTGGGGGAACTCTCAGCGCAAAACGAGAAAAGGAAAGAAGCAGCACCATCTGTGAGGGGCTTCCCCAGCCCTCCAGGGGAACACCTCTCCTCCTGGTGCTCAGAGCAGCTGCTCAGAAATCACCAGGGAAGGGTCCCCGCTGAGAGGGTTCCAGGTGGCTGGGGCTACTTCCCTGAAAACTCAGCCCAGTCTGGGGCCAGCATTCAGTGTATTAGCAAAATGATGGCTGAAAACTGGGGAATTTGATCAATGAAATCGAGAAGGCAAACTTGGGACTCCGTTAGCGTAATTCTAATTGAGTGTGATCCTTAGTTTGGGGGTTTTTAAATTTCACAATGGCAATTTAAATGAAAACTTTTGGGAGAGTTTGGTTTTGTTTCTGTAGGCTTTGAATATTTACTAGTGACTAAATAGCTTACCTGATGTTCTGTGGGAAGGGTGTGCCATCCACACAAAATGCAAAATTCCAACGTGGGCCTTAAACATCTGGCTCATGCAAAGAATCTGATATTCTAACTGAAAAGATATTTATTTAGGAAGAAGGAAAAGTTGGTTGCTTTGCTATAATTTTCTGTGATTTTCTGCTCCTGTTTCCCCCCGACTCTTCTTGAAAAAGGACTCTAAGCTTTTCCCAAGAGTCAGTGAGAATTGCTGGTAATAATTGCGGAGGGTGGGGGGCCAGTAAGTGAATGTAAAATGAATGAGTTCAGGCTTAAGCAGGTCAGAGATTGCAGCTGAAATATTGGAAACGAGGCTTGAGCTCAAGGGAACTGTCCGTTTGAACTGGCTCAGTGAGTGTGTCCAATTGCGGTATTGCGCACAGTACAGCTAACCTGCTGATTTACATGCTGTAGATACCTGCAGTTGTGTGGGTTGCGGTCTTTGTTATTCTTCACTGGCTATATGGCTCCCCGTTAAGAATTTGGTAAAATACTGAACTAGGGAAACAAATGGCTCAGACATTAGAGTTAGTCCCAGAACTATACTCGAGGTCTTAAAAATAAGCCCCCTATACTTCAAGTTCTACAGACTTCTGAAAATCAAACTTCTCACGTAAAATCTTGGAAATGATAGTCTGACTCCCTAAATGGTATAACTGAAAGAAGCCTCACCCTTCTTCATGTTCTTTCCCCAAGGAGCTCTGAAAATCCCTGAGGGATATTTCCATGTCCCGTGTCCCACGAAGAAACCCCGGTTGTTGTTGAACATTAAGTGGCTATCGCACTTCTGGTCAACTTGTTCCTTCGTTCGTGTGTTGCATTTCCATGAATTATTTCTGCTCTCTGAAGAGTCCCATCCCAAATTCTCCCCAAGCACAGAAACCAGATTGTAAACCAGATTGCAACATTTAACAAAATTTTGCTGAAGCCTTAGGGGGAGTGAAAGGGAATTACAGTGCAGAGGGCTATCTGACTCCTTGGGCTCCACTGGGCTGCATCACTGGTCCCACCAGCTTCCTTTCCACAGCAGAACTGTTTGTCTCTGTCTTCCCTACATTAATTAAAATCCTCCCCCTCATCCCAGTCTCCTCTAGGGTCCAACAAGAGGTGTGTGTGTGGGGGGCG